AAATCTGGTTGTTTTATTACTTATTACTTCTTTATGTAATAATTTTTCATCATTTTACTTATTACTTTTTATTACTTTTCTTCGTATCAGTCATAAGTAAAGTAATAAAAGATTATTACCTGAAAAAAGTAATAAGTAATAAAGTAATAAGATTTATTACTTGTTTCCAGGTAATAACTAATACTTTTTATTACTTATCCATTGGTAAAGAACAGTAAAGTGACACCCCTAGTCACTAGGTCAGTTCCTATTGAACGGGAACTGATTACCAGTTCTTTTCAAGAATTCAAAATAAAATAATACCAATTTAGCTAATTACATTGACTTAGTTTAATCAACTAAACACACCATCTACCTCTGGCACACTACACAAAGTCAGTGTAAGTAGGTTCACCGGTTTTATTTCAATTTTAATTTTTTGAAAAGAACTGGTAGCAGTTCTCGTTCTTTTGAAACGAACTAAACTAGAACTGTCCCACCTCTAATTCAAATAACCTATCGAATATTTTAGACATATTAAAATTTCCTCCAGTTAATACTAATTTTCTCGTGATATCTTTTAACCTTTTCTCATTTGTCGTTGTTTATCATTATAAATATACAAATTTTTTGATTGTTCAAATCTTCTTTTATTTGCCCATGCTGAAAATCCACTTGGTGACAATATACTCGTTTGACATTCACCTAGTGCGTAAAAATCAGCAATCACTTTGGTAAATCCGTCACAAACAGTTTTTCCTTTATCAAACCGATCAACGTGAATAATGGGACCCGGTATGGTCAATGATCGATCTGGATAATGATTCAATATTTTAGAAATTGCTTCACCCGAATCACTAGTAACAAATATTGTTTGGCTTCGATTCACTAATAAACTGCTATTATCAACAAATGCGATCATATCGTCGGCAGTATGTGATCGATAGGGAAATGCATAATCATGTGGATTATTAGGATTCTTTCCCACACGAATATGTAAGCATAACATCGAAGAATTTCGAGAATATACCATTCTTAATAGATGATTGACACTTGCTGTAACATGAACACTCGGTTTAAATAAAATTTCAAAGATGACTGGAAATAAATAAGCCTGCGTAGTTTTGTATGTTGGCAGTTGGCCAAATAAGATCCGACCAATAGAAGAATTTTTTACGAAGGGATTTTTTAAAGCTGGTGTCATATAATCACTATTAGTAGTTATATAAATATCATCATGCTTCTCCCATTTTTTAATAAAATCGTATCGTGATATATCAGTGGTCATTTCTTGTTTATATGAAGCCATATAAGATGACATTGTATTAATAACTAACTGTGAACGTTTTCCTGATGGTATTTCGAATGTCCAATTATATAAATTCGGTTCTAAAACATGTTTAACATTACATGGATAATGCATATTTATCATAAATTGACGTCCCGTTATTAAAGCTAAAATATATACGGACATAATACCACGTAAACGATCTCCAAAACCACCACAAAAATATTTACATTGATAAATTAACGTTTTGTTTTTTCTTCTCGTAGTATGATCTGATGACAATAGAAATAAAGTTGAATTCAAGGATAGATAATAGTGGTTTAATTGATGTAAGCGTTTTTCATTTCGTTGACTAATTGAGACAAATGATCGCGTACTTTTCGTATGATTATATAAGAGTTTATTCGTATGTTTTGAGATATCATTGTTTAAGGTAGTTACATTTGTATTTGTTAATGACGAAGAAGATTCTGAACGATTTACCGACATTTGTACTAACGATTGTATAGCATGAGGAAAATATTTAAAAACTGATATAAATAAGACAAAAAAAACTATTAACAGAACATATTGTCGTTTACTAAACGGACGCATTTAATCATTCAAATATAGATATCGTTGAGCAAAAAATTCTTCCATCTCTGTCGCATAACACATAAAGAAAAAAAAAGAAATAAAAAAATTCTGTAAAAAATTTCTAATCCATATAAATATGGTTAAATAAAGAATCGCATTTTATTTTTAATATCATACGGTAAAAAATCGAAATAAACAAAAAAACCCCGCATGTGTATATAAATCATCACACTTACGATTTGAATAGAAAATTATTTAAACGAAAAAACATTATAGAAATATATTTTTTATCAGCGAAAAAAACTTTTGTCTCGCCGCACTCATACTATAAAAATGTCAAGAAACCAAGACATTTTCTTGTCTTCTTAACGCATATGGGCGGTGTCAAACAGTAATATGCATCTTTTTATAAATAAAACTTAAACTAATACGTGTCCGTGCTGCATAACTGCCGATTAAAGAAATAGACCATACAACACTTTCACTGTTCGCACAAGTAATATTTTTTCACGTCGTGAATTGTTAGTTTATTGTACGATTGTATATGATAGGGTTCTGCTGTTATAATGGAGCGCTATTATACCGTTGTTCGCTCACACATTTTAGTGTAAAACTGGCTCCGCTTAGAATCATAGATCCTTTCCTTTGCTGGAAAAAGGTCGCGAAGAGTTAAAAGATCCTTTATTTTGGTCAGAAATGTCTTCTCTATGCGATCGAGTTATTTGTAAAAAATTGACTAATCGAAGTTTAGTACCTGGACTTCCAGAAATCCTGTTTTGACTAACTCTCTGAACAAAGAATTATCATACACACATATTCTGATAGAAAACCGCTTTGGATCCTTTTTTAGATTGATTCTATCTAGTAGAATTGAGAAGAAAAATCAAAAATCAAAAGTGAACACGCGCGTTTTTCACTCACTACATACTCTATTTTCTTCACTCAATTTGATTCTGTACTTAAGATCAAACAAAGTATTCTCTTATTACAAACATTTCCAGTTCAAAAACCATAATGTTTTCTGTAAACTTCTTTTTTTTTAAAACAGAATAAATTCATTCACAGATGGGTAATTACATAGTTTTTGAAGTAGAAATATTTAAAAATTGAACTCGAGTACACTCGAATATAAGTTTGACTACATGTAGAAGGCTTGTAAGAAGCAAGGAGAAAGATTTGTTCATGTCAATTTTTTACATAAAGATATACACAGTTCAGTTATCGTTTTTTCTCTCAATCCGACATTATTAATTACAGTTTTATGTTTTATTCTGATTAATACAAGACTGCAGATTGCTGCATCTTTTTCTATATATGTCGTATTTAGATTGTGCTTGATATCCTATTGATTCAAAATGCATCATTACTCTCTTCATCCTCGTCTGTTATGTTAGCTTTTGTGATTTTGTTAAAATAAATATATATAAAAAAAATAAAATTTGACATATCGTATTTAGAATATGGTTTTTTTTTTTGTTTTCTTTCTATGGAGACCATGTGTGTGTGTGTGTGTTCACGTTATAACTATATGATTGGAAAGAGAAAAAGAACTGATAATTTTGATCAATTCTTCATTCAAAAAACCAAGTGTTTTTTCGAGTAACCATTGAAAAAATCACCAGTACGAGTAGTGCAGATTTTGTATTTGAGCAGTACTCGTACTCACCTGATCCATCTCTGGATCCATTTATAGTCATTTGTCATAGAAAAATTTGATTTCTTTTTCTAAAATATTTTGAACTTTATTTGATCATCAATTTATGATTTAAAGTTGTTAAATTGTATAGTTTTTTCCACTTGTTGGACTCAATTACCGTTTAGAACTAGATAACAGAAAAAGAAATCAAAATACGAAAAATATGAGACAACAGAACAAGAAAAAAGCGTATGATAAGTAGCTCAATGTTAAATAATGTCTTATATATGGATATATTATATTTCAGCTATTAAAACAAGAATAATTTCTATATTAACAGATATAATTGCATTCAACGCATACCTTTTAAAGAATGATGGAAATTAGATCCAAACATAATAACTACTAGGGAAATATAGTGTAAGAGCAATGCAAAACAAACAGACAAACAAATTGAATATATCAGAACAAAAGAAAAAAAATAGACTCGCAATTTTATATAAAACAACATTTTATTTATACAATAATACGATAAAGTACAGCAATAACAACAACAACAATAGGAGCAACTAACGTATTAATAGAAATAAATGTTTGTATTCTATTTAATTGATATACTAATAATTTTTATTTCTGTTAATGGTTTATCAAATCGATCCGTTTTAACTTGTGATAATTTTTGTACAACTTCCATACCTTTGGTAACACGAGCAAAAATCGTATGTTTATTATCTAACCATGGACACGGAATGACAGTAATAAAAAATTGACTACCATTCGTATTTGGACCTAAAATAAAGAATAGAATAATATAATTTATATCAATGTTGAAAATTTATACCTACCAGCATTTGCCATTGAAACTGTAAATGGTCGATCATGTTTTAAATTTGGATTAAATTCATCTTCAAAATCTTTGCCCCATATAGATTCACCACCAGTACCATTACCTAAAAAATTTGAATTCATTACAATTGACTAATTTTATTAGATAATTAATGTACTTACCTAGTGGATCACCTGTTTGTAGCATAAATTGTTTGATAACTCGATGAAATATAAGACCATTATAGTAGCCATGTTTTGAATGTTGTATAAAATTTTCACATGTTTTTGGACAATATTCTGGAAATAATCTTAAAGTAATATCACCACTAGTTGTATGAATACAAGCTGTTGTCGTTGTTAAGAGTGATGAATATGTTGCTTCTTCAGTAGCTGTTGCTATTTCTTCTCGTGATGGACGTTCATTATAAATATCACGATCATTTTCATGTTGAGTTTTAACATCCGATGGATTTGATCGTGTAAATAGATAAAAACGATTTTTTCTATATGCAGTTGTAAATAAAATAGTTGAACTTAACGCACGTAATGGTAACAGTAATGACTGACTATTTTCAATAAATAAAGATTCTAAAGTAGACATTGCAGAAGTACCGGTAGCACCACCGCCAGTATTTCCACCAACAGACGTTGTTTTTCTATATTGATAAAGACCAATTTGTAAAAATCGTGCATTTTCAGTTGTACCAAAAAATTTAATACAACGATTTGTACGTAAATTTAATAATTTGATACCGTATAATGTAGAATAAAATAAAAAATTTCCAGATAAATCAAATTCTAAATTTTGTAAATGATAGGAATATTCATTACGCTCTAAATCTTTTTCAATTGTTAAACGACGACTAAATTCAACATTATTTAAAACACTGGTAGGAATAATTGATGATTTACGCTGTTGAGAAATTATTTTCTGAGATGATGATGAATCTAAATTGAATAGAGAACAAAACAAATTTTTAGCACTAATTGAAATATTTTCTATAAATTAATATTCTAAAAAGAATTTTGCTAAATGAATAGAAGTATTTCTGATTGAAAACTGATAAAATTTATGTCTATATTTAATATTTGATTTATAGAAAAATAGTTCATCTTGTCTTGTTATTATCATCATATCTCTAAATCAATCAAACTATCTTTTATTTACCTTTTATTATTTTATTACTTTCTTCATCTATCTGCTCATTCTCCACATCATCCTCGTCATCTTGTTTATTTATCGATGCCGATTGTGCCAGTTGCTGTTGTTTTTGTTGTAATTTATCTTGTAATTGTCGATAGACATCATTTGTCTCGTTGTAAATTTTCATAATTTTTCCTCGTCTTGTATCAAATAAATACAATTTTTTCTTTGTAATTGGTGTTTCAATTGTTCGTGTTAAACAAGCAAAAATGAGTCCATTTGGTGAAAATTTTAGACAATATGGATATGTCTGTTGTTTAATGAATTCAAATAGATCCGTATCTAATTTTGATTCAAACTGACACAATTTTGGTGGAATATCATACTGACATGATTCTTTGCCTGACCAATAATTAACAATACCGCCCATATCACATGATACAACTAATTCTGTTTGTTCATTATATTCAATTAAATGTACACATCGAGTATGACCTAAAGATGAATCAATATCATGTTTAAATATGAACTATCTAACTGATGAAATAAAATGTACCTAATTTTGACTGAACATGTAGTGGTTCTTTGACATTCAAATTTTTTCCATCATAGAGGTAAATCAAAGGTGAAGTCATGTCACTGATAGCTAATGTTGATAGAGGATCTTGTGGACCGTGAATCCAGGAACATGCTAGAGGTTGATAATCTAATTTAACCATCGTTATCATATCAAATGAAATAATATCAAATATCTTCAATGATCTATCACCGGAACTTATTGAACATAACAATGTACCCATACAATTACAAGCTAAATGTTGAATTGCACCTAGAATACAAATTTTATGCATTATTTTAACTTCAGATAAATAATAAATAAGCATTCATACCTAAATGTGCTCTAAAATGTTTGACAAATTCGAGTGGTCCACCACTTGTTTGTACATCTCCACTGATTCCTTTTGCTCCGTTTATTTGTTGTTCTTTCGATGATGCTGATAGTTGTTGCTGTTGTTGTTGATATGAAGACAGAGTTGCTTGCATTTTTACATATTCTACTGTTAATATTTTCCAAAATTTAATATGACCATCAGCTGAACCAGTGATGAGGAAATCTGTTTTTGTTACCAGACAGTGTGTAACAACATCACGATGCATATATGAACGTTCATAATAATCGGCACACGGTAATGAGTCCAAATGTAATTGATCAAGGTAATTAACAGACACATTTTTATGAGAATGTGATGACTGATCATTGGACTGCTGTGAAACAGGATCTGGCTGTATGAATTCAGTAATTGATTCAGAACCATCTCTGATATTACTTGATTCAGGTGAGTTTTGACGATGATGTGAAGAGACGGGTCTTGTTCGTTTTGAAGTAGGCGATGGTGAACGAACAGATCGGTGAGAGTGTTTGCTTCGTTTTGGTGATGAACGAAACGAAGTAGGTGAAGGTGAATGAGAACGATTTGAATGCTGTCGATGAGAAGAACGATGATGATTATTTTCGTCTCTTGAACTCATTTTTTTAAATCAAGGTAAAGATCTAAAAACAAAGGAGTCAACAATATTTTTGTAAAGTTTGAAGGTGAATTGTAAGACTGAAAAATTAATTGAAAATTGAATTTTGACACCACTGTTCCGTAAGTAACTTACTATAAACAAAAACAACGACATCAGCCTCGTGATATTTTCGTATCTTTCTTTAGAAATTGACAGATGTATTTTCAGAAGTATGCTTGTACTCGACCCACTAGGTGATTATGATGTTTCAGTCAGATTAATTATTCTCCTTGTCATCCTTGTTTACTACACAAAAAAAAGAATACTGGGGCAAAGAGAAAACTATCCACTACCAAAAGAGCCAAATGGTTGACATACACATGCACCCAAAATAAATTTTTATATGTTTTTCAAAATGTTCTTTGAATTAGTAAATGTGAAAGATATTATTAAATTGTCTCTGTCTTCTCAGTGTCCCATCTAAACAATATTTTTCTTGTGTGGGATTGTAAAAAAGAGTCAGCTCTTCGAAATGGAGCCCACCCCGATCCTTGATTACATTTCCTTCAAAAAATACCAGCAATTCATTGAGAAAGGCTCATGAAAGAATGGAACGCCAGCAATACTGATATAACCGACTAGACAGAAACAAACAGGCTATCAAGTACGATATCAGATGTATTCTGAAAATTCGAAGTCTGAAAAAAATTATATACTGAAAAAATGTGTCCATACTAGTAGACACGTCGAAGAATAGTTTGGTGAAAAGCTAATGCCAAAATATTGCTTCCTTAAAAAGTTATGATACATTTCCTCAGAAACTACATGCTGTACAGATAATTTTGAGTGTATGTATAAAACATATAGAAAACAAAATTTGTTTAACACAACATGCTATCGAAGAGAACCTGTACAGAAAAGGTAAATATTCTAGATGTAAAAACAACAAAATCAACCATCTTTTCACAAAATACCATTTATTGCATAGACAAGAGTCAAATAAAAATAATCTATCAATTTAATAAAAAAATAAACAACGATAAGAACTCGTTTGTGTACGAAAAGAGAAACGTTGTATAACTAAAAAAATGACGAAATTGTTTGTTTATTTCCAAACTTTTAATGACTCACATTATATGTACGTTATTATTCACAATTCATTAACAATTGTACTGTCTTTTTTACTTTCTAAGCGTCTATCTACTGTCCAAAAACATACCAAAATAATAGTAAGAAAAATATAATTTGAAACTAAGATGGTCTAGTATATTCCGTAAAGTTATCGATAAAATAATACGAAAAGAGATACATTCTCATTTTGCTGAACTCAATGTTTGATCCAAATACGGGAACAACACAGCATACTTGTCGATGTACCGGTCACAATTGAAAATTGGTGTTCTTAAAAGGTGTACAGTGAAAATGACATTTTTTTCCGTTTCCAATTTGCAAAATTCTATTTAAAACAATGAATATTTTTCACTTTGTTTAAATAAAAAATTATTTATTGTATGTCTTTTAAGAACACCTTGAATTATTAATTATTTAGAAATCATAAGAAATAACAATATGAAACAATTGTCAAATACTCATTAGATAAATGAGTTATATCATTTAAATGTTTTCAACTGATACAAATCAATATTAATTATTCGATAGATGAACACAATAATTGTACTGATTGTGAAAAATGAAATAGATAATAATCATGATTATCGACATGGAACATTGTTAATAATAGAACATAATCCAACAAAGAATATTTGATGAATAAAAAAATTGTAAAGTATATTTTGAAGGACAAAATATTTTAAAAAATATTTCTATTGACAAAGATAAAAACGTTATTGTTGTTAAACAATAACAGGAATCCTCTATCTAGAATTGAAATCATCACAGAGTATGAATGATAGGATGATACATTCTAGCTCTTGATATACCTCTTATATGCTACTAGTCATAAAATTTTAGACATTTTTAGGCATGTAGCATCACTATGTGATTACTGTTTAACTAACTACACTTGTCGAACACACATTTGTCTATTTTCCAAGCAATCCAGAAGAAAAACGTTTTATGTTTTTTGATTTTTTTAAGAAAAAAAAGACAGGAAGAAAAACGATCTAAAAAAGTTGTATGAAAATGACATGTATCGAAAAAAAAGTCAATTTCAATCTCGGATTTGAGGGTTGTAGTGCAGACAATAGAGTTATCTTAAAAAAAGTAAAATATACTTGCAGCTATATAGATCATGTGCGTAACTGGAAAATAAGCTAAGACAAAAGCGATGTTTAATGAACTATGAATAACAGAAAAATCTATAAATCTGTAAGCAATCACATTGGATTTCAATAAAACAAGTTTATTTTTTTTTATAGAGATTTTGTTTCTTCTCAACTCCAAAAGTTATCAAATGAAAGAAGCAGGTAACCAGTAGAGAGATGACACATCTCAATATCTGGATACTCTTTGCTTACTGAAAAACAAACACACAAACCTGAAAAAAATACTCTAAAAAGTTTGACACAACCGGGCCGATAATGAGAAAATATAAGAAACAGTAATAATTAGAAAAAGATAAAAAAAGAAAAAGGAAAAAAAAGCTGTTCTTGTTTAATAGTAAGATCGAATAAATTTTCTTATCACAAGTTTTCTTCATTGTGCACGTTTTTCATTGTCAACAACATAGGCTAGATCGTGGACGGAAACATCAACTTTGGCCGGTTGTTTATGCTCTTCATTTTCATTAACGATTTTTTCAGCTTCATCTTTTCCTACTGTACCGGCATTTTTCAATGTTGTATTAGCAATTGAGCATACCTTTTCGGGCACTTTTGTTTCACCACTAGCCAATTTTTCCCAGTATTTACGTGTTTCTTCAATGACTCTCATTGCATATTTTTTATCAGCAAATTGTTCATTTAAGGCAAATACATTTGGTGGTTTACCTAAATAAGGAAGACAATTTAAAAATTATAAGTTCTTAGAAATAGTTCGCTGTTGTACCTGTTGGAACTTTATAGTATTTAAACCATCTTCGTGTAGCGTCTAATAGACCAGGTAAATGTTGCTCAACATCGTTGATATCATCAATTTTTGAAGCTAACTTATCGTTTATATCAATACCAATCAACTTCCAATCTGTTTCACCTTCATCAATTAACCCAAGAACGCCAACAATTTTCACTGGTACAATTGAACCAGTGGAATGTAATTTTGTTCCAATTTCACACACATCTAATGGATCATTATCACCCGTTGTCTTTGTATCTGAGTCAGTATGATTAGGATCCTAAATTAAACATAAAAATCAAATGAGAGCACATATAATGAGACAGGATGAAAGAGAAAATACTTTCCCTTTGAAGATAGGAGGTAGTGATTTTTACTGTCTATTTTAAGTAAATCACTCTCTAGAATTGAAGAGCTACTCTTTTGATAAACAACTCAAGTCGATTTTAATCGTCAGCAGTGATTTCCCAATAGGAAATAATCTTTTATTCTAATAGAGGATTTAAAGTAAATCCGATAATCTAAGTACTTACTTCCCATGTTTGTGGTAAAGCCCCATAATTCCATAAATAACCATGATAAGGAAAAACATTGTGTACAAATCGTGGCTTATTATTTTTAATATCTTGTACAATTGGATTCAATTTTAATTGCTTATTTATTTCCATTTTGGCATTTGTCCATCTTGGTACTTCGACAATCATGTTAAAAATAGGATTTGTTGAATCATTTGACGTTGTTTTATACATTAATGGAATGTCATGGAATGGTGAAACAAATGTTTGTGTTTGACGATCGCGAAAATAACATCGATAATTGAGTGTATGTAATTGACCACGTTCAACAGTTTCATAACGTTTATTTTCATTATCAGATGCATCTGGTGGACTTGACACTAAACCAGCAGATGTTTCTTCTTTGGATTTTGTGTTCACATTGGTAGCAGCCATTTTTTTTGTTGTTGAGGTTGATGTTGATGGGGTTCTTGTAGAAGAATCACGTAAAACCTTAGATGATGGGTTTTTACTGGATAAGAGTGCTCCGCGTACTTCTACAATAAATAAGGAGAACAATGGACGATACTGAAATATGCAAGTTCGAAGTAACATGAACACAAATACGTTTGATGGTTAGTATTTTTCTGAAATAAGAAAACAAAGAATGAAACGTCTTTGATCACCAGTTAGTACGAAAACAGAAACCCTTTCTCTCATAATTTAAATTTTGTGAAAACTCAATAAATCTACAGTCGAAGACGAATTAGCTAAAGTTTTGAATTAATGAAATAATAAACATTTTTCCTGCTCAGAAGATTATGAAATTTAAAACAAGTTATTACAAGCCCAATGATTTACTCTTGTTTTGATCTGAATACCTGATCTTCTCGGTGATAACCCTCCTCTCTGTTTTGGAGCATTTTTCGACATTATAAATAAAATAAATAGCAATAAACTCAAATTAATAAATAAACAAATATAAGAATTAGAAAATGGTTGTTATTCAAACAAAAAAGAATGATATGTAACCGTGTATGTTTCAACTCTTGACAAAATTCTATGAGGATAAGAGTTAAAAACTTTATCTCTTCTTATTGCAGAAAAGAAAAAGAATAGAGAAAATGCATGATGTAAATCTACATAAACAAGAAAAACTGAGGTGCGATCTAAAACACATGTCTAACACTAGATATTTTATTAGATTTCCTGTAACCATTCAACAAATTTTTATTACTTATATACTAGTTTAGTTACATTGGTCTGACGATATATGACAAGTCACAAGTGTGTCATATAACAAAGAGTTATTATTCATATAAGTTCATTACCTTGACATCAACGTATAAAGCTCGAAGTTTTCTGAAGGAAAAAGAAACTGGATACTGACATCATATTTTAATAACAAATTATTCACCGGAAGAAAAAAAGATTTTTTTCAAGGACACATTACTTAGAGAATAAATGACGTTCGCCTTCCTGAAAATGAGATTAATAGGTGGAATAATAAAATATGTTCAACAGAGCGTAATGAGTTTGGCATGTTGCGCTGTGAATTTAACATGCAAGGTTAAATATAATTTAATTTATTTACATCGCTTTATTTCATATGTTTGTCTATCAAATTACTATCTCACTTCTAGCCGTATTAATATTCACTTTCTAATCAGATTTCTTTTGCTCAAGTGTGCTCGAAACACCATGTGAATACAAAGATTAAAAATCCGGAGTCATATACTTCCAGCTAATCAACTCAACATCTTTTTTTATTTTGAATCATATTGAAACACGTACATAGTCAAATGTTAGCAACGAATAATATTCCGTTACAGAATATCATATGAAAATCGTTTGTGCATATTTTAAAGCAATCACGATGAGGATTCTTGGTTAAATAAATATTGCGAAAATATGCAAGACTACTCTTAAAAAATTATCGTGTTCTTAAAAAAGAGTATGACTCCGTTTTTTTGATACCGTTTCATACCCAAGAAATCTAAAGAGTTCTAAGACTTGCCATCTTTTTAATCACATTTTTCTTCATAAAATGAGACAATCGCGCGCTCCATGCGTCTTTTCATTCGAAAGATATAAAGACGAGAAAGCAAGTTACGGAACCACGTTTTGGGCTGGGTTACACAGAATGGCCCGCAAAACAAATCTTCATCTGAAAAACGGAGCGTCAGACGGGCTATCTCTCTCTTAAACATCGATGAAATTGTTTGAGAAAATAAGCAAAGCGGGAGGATTGGAGAGTTAAGAAGATAAACCAAACGGTTTTCTTCTATTCATTCTATTTGTGTTTATTTTTATCGTTTCTGTATCTCTGTGTTACATACTCTAGTTTCTTTTGTTTATCTCTGTTATCCCTATTTCATCTTTGTAGTTTAATTCGAATCATCAATACAACAGGTCGGGGACCTTGAATGACTCTCACTTCTCGCGAATAAACTAGCCTTGAAAGTAAATCGATCCGTGGCCACATTTTCCTTCAGTTCACCTGTAATGAAAGAACAGATGCTTTTCTACTATTCTGTGTTTTTGACATGCTCGGATTTATATTATTTCAAAAAATAGTTTCGCGTAGTACAAGAATATGTGGAAAATCTTGCTAGAAAGCGTTACGGTAATACGTTTTCGTTAAGAAAAAACCTCCTGGAACCCTCCTTTTCTTTGAAGCCCAAGAACTGCATTTATGTGTGTCAACGTGTGAACTGAACTCTCTACTTAAGATAAATCGGTGTCTTCTGCAGAAGTGTTTTTATAGATTTTTAAAAACGCTCTATATAAGTTCTAAAAAGCGGGGTCGATGGAATCAAAGTCATTTCTTATTCCATGCCTGATCAACTTTGAAATCAAATATAGATTTGTAGAACAAACTCATCAAGAAAACAAAATGTGGCGTTGGTATATATAACCTTGTTGTCGAAAAGTTTTTAAAAGTATTTTTTTACAAGCCCAAAACTACACATCGCACCTTTTTAGAAGGCATTTTTGAGCTCTTAAAATGCCATTTCCCAAGAATATCTCACAAGCCAGAGATAAACATGTTAGGCTAGTCTCAAGTCTGAGGTTATCAGAAAATTCATTCATCAAAAAGCTCTCGCCGTACACAAATAACAACAAAAACAAACGAACCACGAATAGTTCAGTTCTTCGACCGAACTGGCTAACAAAATATTGTTCACTTACTGAAAAGTAATAGGTGTTTTCGATAAAGAAAAAGAAATAAGAATCTCTTTGCAATTCTCTAAACAATTTTTGAGATGTCATTAGTTTCAAACGATGTACTGAGAAAGAACGAATTTCATCTCGTTTCGTCAAAGTTTTTTGTAAGCTGTCTCGTCTCGCTTCACCAAATATTTTAAAAGATCCCTAGTTTCTATCCACAAGATGCCAGCACTGCGAATGTTTAGTGACAAAATGAGTATGTAAGATATTGTAAGTAGAGAGACTCCTAGAAAAGACCATATTTTGAGGTTTTCTATGCTCGTACACACTAAAAAACAAACAAACAGAATTTCTAGCCCTTCTTCTTTTCGTTGTTTCCTTTTGGCTCCAAATAGCAGCTCCACAAAATGGCCGAATCCAATAAACAAAATGTATTTTCTGGCCGATATCCCATTTGTTCTAAACGATTGAAAAACTACAGTATTCAATCAAATTCACTTAGATGTCTCTCTGAACCCGCATTTTTTTACTTCCAACAATTCCAGATACACTTTATTTAACTATAAAACCTTTGACTTATTTAAAAGGTACTTATATTTCTTCCGAAAACTGTTGAAGTTTGTCAAAAGATATGATTTTCTTTTCATCGATACCCATTTTCGTGCCTCTTGCACATTTTTGCTATTTGGAGCTGCAAAATCTTTGCTTTTCCTCTTAGTCCCTAATAGTAGTTGCTATTTGGAGCTAAAAGGAAACAACGCCTTTTTACTTTCTTCTTTTTCTCTGTTCACACTACAAAAGTTAAATGAGCTAAAACGAAGCTAATTAGTGAGAAAGTTAACTCTGAGTTAAATGATATCATCACTGTATAAAAGCCGTACGGTTTAACCGTTCCAACATGACGGTTTAACTGTCAGGTTATGAATCATCCTTTAAAATATAAATACAACCCGACGGCAAAATGACGCTTATTTCGTCAGGTTGTGCAACCTGATAAAAAAAGCGTCAGGTTGGTTGAGTCATCTGCGATTGAATAAACAAAACAAAATCCGACGCTTAAACCGTCGGGTCGTACAACCTGACGGTTTACACGTCGGGTTTCTCTCATCGAATGTTTTAAAATGAATTATTCTTTCTTTTATGTTTGATGTTTTATCATTAACTTCACAGAAGCAAAGACTAAAACTAAAATTTGCTTTTTCAATTAAAATGCATAGAAATTTAGCAATAGAAGTAATGTGTTGCATACTGGCCAAGGAAACATTGTTAATTACAAACTAAATATTAAATTAGCTTTTTTGCGAAATGTTCAAAGAAATCAGATGCAAAACAGAGAAATCTGTCACTTTAATCATCAAGTAAGGATGATCGTTTTGCACATTTTGTAACTCTCGGATTAGTTCGCGGCACCAGAGAAAGGATAGCAATCTGTCGAATCACCAATCCTTAGAGTTAATATTGTGAATATAACTTTTATAAAGAAAACAACAAAACAAGAAAAAAATAAACAAATATTACAGGAAAAACACTAATAATCGGATAAGTATTTAATATTTTAGATTAAATAGAGATTCGAATTAGAAACTCTTTGTCGTTCTCAGTTTTTTCAAGGAATTCGTCGTTTTTGAGATAAATACATTATTATGGGAAAGACGGCATCGCTGTGAAATGTAAAATGTATTTATTTCGAAAACAACGGATTTCTTCAAAAAACCGAGAACCTTGCTTCAGCCATTTTTTTAACAAAGTGTGCCTTTTCAAACTCGAACCCTGTCCGCTGGCTATTTCATTTCCCAATACAAAATTATACAGAGGTTTGAAACATTCAAACCTGACGTTTTTGTACCGAACGGTTAAAACATCATGTTGACCGGATGTTTTAACCGTCAGGTTGGAAAAAGTGTCAGGTTAGAACGGATAAAATATCAGGCTTAACAAAGCGCCAGGTTTTGACGTGTAAACCGTCAGGTTAGCACAGTTTAATCGTGCGATTTTTTAGTGTTTCGAACATCATTTAACTTCAACTCTCCAGTCATAAATGAGCTTAGTAACCAATAATATGGTTTCATTAGACAAGGGAGGTAGCGTCAGTTCTGTGGAAAAACAAATATCGGACTCTCTACTCAATTTTTCTGTTTGAGCTCAGGAAGTCAACTGTAGAACGTAAATTTAAACTGGCCAGTTGTTAGCAAGTCGCAACCTTTCAGAATACTGAAGGAAAAGGAAGGAGCACAATTTTAGGAGAAATGTCAAAATCTTTTTGATGTGTTGAAGATTTAGCTGTG